ACAGAAATCACTGCAGAAGATTTGAAAAACAACATCTAGAAGGGTGGTCTATGCACACATTGCATACACTGTTAAAGGAACACTAACCGACACTGCGTGAAAAGGAATGTATAAAAATAACGATGCAGACTTTCACCTAAACGCACAAAAGTATTAAGTTTGTGGACCTTCGATTAGTCCCATGGGTATAAGCGAAATGTGCACACGTCTTCGGTAATGTTAACTACTTTGAAAACATGGGAAGAAAAAATTCCGAATTGTAAAAGCAATATCCGTCCTACCTGACCCTATCTGCGCATGACCATGACTATGTTATCATCACCTATGATTAAGGATTCCGAGGGAATCCAAAACGTCAGGAAAATAAAGCCCTTGTTCCAGTGATGGCATCTTCTTCTTCTGAATATCACAATTGTGAGAAACACCACAGCATTTTCAAGCCTGTATTGAGGACTACCCGTTATAGGCGTATGAGGTAAGGGCTTCTGGAACATTTTGGTGAAATTATTGACCAATTTGACGGTGCTTTCGCGTTTGACGCATCTTCATCGCCCTGATGTCTAAATCGGAGTCGGAAACACAAACGTCTTCTGATGACGAAGGAACGCTAGGGCATTCATAAAGAAATATAAGCATGTGAATGCCAAGTATGGCTGTGGGTGGGGCTGCATTTAGGGTTATCATAAGACGTATTGCCTTAATCTAATTGACCGTATGCAGCGCGATGAATATTTTCACCGCAGAATGGATGACTGTCACCGCACTAGCACGTCACCGCTCCTAGCACGGGACGTGGAATGGTAAGCTGTTTTACTGAAGACCCCCTGCATCTAGTCTACCTGGGCGTTATGCGCAGGTTATTGAATTCATGGCTTAGAAGTCCTAAGGGGACGACGTTTATTATATCAGAGGAGGCAGTCTTAACAGTTAACGAAACGTTAAGGACCATTTGTTCACACCTGCCGCGGAAATTTTCCCAGCGTGTAAGGTCACTTTCAGAACTGGACACATGGATGGGGACGGAACTGTGCCAGTTTCTGCTGTAAATAGGATTTTTATTTCATGGAAGAATACTTTCAGAGAAGTATTTGAAGCATTTCCTTTTGTTGTTTCAAATGGTACCATTTTCAGTCCGCCCACGGTCATGCGGAGACTGAGTGTCTTTCATAAGGCAGTTGCTGGTAATGTCGAAGGGAGAGATCGTCGACTACAGAAGGTTCCCCAAGTCAAGAAGTCAGTAAGACCAAATAGGTAGGACAGTATACTGTGAAAAGTAGCTAACAATAGGCTCTGCAGAAACAACTTGCGCACGGCAAATAAGCCAGTTGACGTGTGTCTGGTCTGTGCGTCCACGCAGAGGTTACAGGATGCTAGGGGCGCCCGCCAGCCAATCAGTAGAAGGTGCATAGATTGCGAGAGCAAATAACCAGACATCAAGACGACCTTGAGGCTTGTCGAGACCGCGACGCCTGCGTGGTTCAGACAAAGGCACGATGAGTCACGCAGGGCGCTCTAGGGAATTGGTCACAAGCACGCGAGTGGCGGTGCATGGACTGACAGTGAGGAAAACGTGTGAACACAGGGGGATAATCACAGGACCGCCACAGTAATATTTGTTGAGTGGTATGCAGAACTGTATGATAAAAGTGAGATGGTGTACAATGTTCACAGCATTTTTCAACAACCGGACGACCAGCATATGTTGGAACAATTTGCGGGCCAATTTTTCTAAAAATGCCTTCGATCGCCATCTGCTAAAAACAACACTTGAGGCCCTTCTCCCACAACACGTCCTATTTTCAACTAGAGCACGTGAAGGGCAACAGGCTAGTTGTTTAGATCTAGTCTTCAC